TATATATATATATATATAGTTTTCTATAATATTACTTTCTCTTTTAAAACGTAATATCTTGTCGTCCATATCGAAGAGACGCCGGAAATGGATTTATCGAGTTTCGCGCTGCGGCTCTACGAGAATGAAATATTAATCTATGTCCGGGCGACGGCAAATGCGAGAGGTAGAGTCAAAAGTCATGGCCTTTCTGCTGTTTTTAAGCATCGCGATCCAACATTACGCGCCTCGGAGGTTTATACAGCCCTCCGAAAAAGGCTACCTTGTTATCTTTCTACTTTTCACCGTTTGTCATTTCCACAACGATGGCATTAGAAGACGGAGGATCTTGGGAGTGGCGAGGGTGACAGCTGGCAAATAGCAGCCTCGGCTGTCATACATCAGAGACTTGGATTAACCGGCGACCATGGCTGGTGTTATTTCTTCCTCTCTCTCTCTCTCTCTCTCTCTCTTTCTCTCTCTTTGCTTCTCCTCTCTTCATATCTCTTCTTTATCACTTCTCTTCGCGAACTCTTGCTTGCTACATATCGCTTGTATTTCCACCGCAGATGGTATTTCCATTGTCACGGGACTTTTCGTTTTTATCTCGCCAGGCCACAAGAGTTGTCGCACAAATCGTTGTAATCCGTAATAATGTAATTACGTTTGCCCATGGACCTCTGGTCCCGGAATTATCTCAAGGTAATCGCGTGCTACCTGAACGAAACTAACGTATTGTACCTCATGATTCATGCTTTTGTGTCTTGACATTTTTTAGTGAAATTATTATTTATATATTTTCTATTATTAGTCGCGATTCTCGCTCAAAGTAGTGCAAATAAAGATTTGAGATCTCACGCGCGTCATGAAATTTATGAAGATTATAAAGAATATGAAATAAAATTTTATAAGAAATAGTGTGTATCGTGAATTCGTATAGTATACTTGCTTTCCACAGGATCTACTTAAATCAATGGGATCAATTTAAAGTGATCTATTAAAGCGATTTTGTATGCCATTTGACCTCCGTCCGATGATACATCGAAATTTGTCGTGCACGACAGAGAGAAGGTACGATATACGATACTGAGGTGTCACTTTTACCGGAGATCAAGTTTCGTATCAAAGGAGGGTGAAGATGAAGCATGGCGCGAATTCCGCGTATCCTTCTCTCTCAGAATTTCTACGCAACAAACGAATAAGCCAGCCGCGATATGAGATTTTCTTCTTCGAGGCCGAAAAATTCTTCTCAAATGTGAAAATTTATCCTGGCGAGATACGTTCGAGTGCCCTCGTCTTTGCTAACGGCAAACTTTTCATTCGAGTTTTACGGAGTATAAATTATGTGAGATAAATGGGCCCGTAATCTCGGAATACTTCCATTTCCTGTGAAAAGGAGCTACTTCCTGGAAGCAAAAGTTAACTCTCTTAAATTTGCACAGAGCAAAGTATGTATGCCTTGCGAAATAATATACATTATGCGCTTGACAATTTGTTTTTTTTAAGGATTAGTCGAGCTTTCGAGAGAAACGAGACGAAGTAGTGTATTTAGGCGTACTCGTTAACTTGCGACCGCAACAAGACATAAGCGGATAAATAGGGTAAAAAAGAATCCCGTCGAACTTTTAATTGAAATAACGCTTCAAAAGAACCATCGCTTCGTGTCAATATGTGAATTAGAGAAAAAGTCTCTGACTCATTTTACGGCATGGTTGCAATCTCTATACGGGTATTAACGTGAGAGAACGGATGAAATTTTGAACCAGCATCACAGTATGCATTTTCCTTTAAACGTATGAAGGATAGTTAATTCTAAGAAGAAATTCTCTTTCTCTCGTGCAAGTTATTAAATATATTTATAGTTTCCATCTTCTTTCCTAGATGTTGAAAGATCTTATAAGTATACTTTTGCTAACAGGTTAATTTTTATTCATTCTTTTATTCATTTAAATGTCTGTTAAAATAATAAGAAAAAATTACATTTATTGTGTGTTACATGTAACACATAAGTAATTAAAAAAACTCTTTGTGTAACGAGGGAAATTACTGTTTAATTTTGACATGTAATTTTTTCTTATTTGTACAGGTAAATAATTAAACCAAAACATCCATGATGTAACAACGGGAAATATGATTAATGATAATTTCTTTTTTTAATGAAAACTCCCAATATAATTTAAAAGGAATAAAACATTTTTACATATCCAGTATTTCTACAAACTCTGAATACAATGTAATAATATTTCACGCTCGTTTAACATGAAACGTAAATGACACATTTTTAATAAAGTGTGATATATTAAAATGCGTTGTTTTACATTCCGTGACATTTATAATCGAACGGATGTGTATCGTAAAAACGCGGCAATTAATCTACAAAGTTACAACTTTATTCTTATTGCGATTGTCCCGTAATGTGCACGCGCTTCGGTATGAGAACAAATGTCGGAATTTCCAATTATGCGCGAACTCCAGCTTTCGCCCGCCCAAGCTGGTTAATTTGACATTTGAGCAATGCTCTCTCTCCTCCCGTACGGTTCGGTCGCATCGAACCGCAAACCATTGCAAGAAAATTGGCAGTAATCGAGAAAAAGAAAGATAAAAGAATAGGTCGTCCATTGTCTCGCTCACGCAATAACATTTATTTTGCATTTTTCGCGAAATGCACAAATGTTGTTGGTTTTATAATTTCATTAAATATTTAGCGACTCGAAGCGCAGGTACGATTATTTACAATCTTTCGTGCACGCATTCTTATTTATATTGCATTATCACGATCGTTGGCATGTAATGCATAATCGATAGTAACATCGAAAAATGTTTGATACAAAGAAAAAGAGAAAATCTAATTTTTCTTTCTCTATTTTGTAAAGAGTTTAGTATATAGGATAAAAGATTTAATCCGATTTCAATAACTTAAGTAATGAAAAAGATAATGAACTTTAACTTATACATTCATCAAAATTTTATATAAAATTAAGTTTTATAAAATTTTTACATATTCCATTCCATTTTGTGTGATATACATATTGTAAACATCGTATTCTTTTATTTCGAAATACATGCATAAAACTTTTCGTTATTTAGAATGGCACTTTCTCGCGTTCCCCTCAAAATGCCTCACTTTATCATAATTATTACCTATTATTTGTCGCATAATTCCCCGGGCAATCAATTAACGCATTAATATAAACGCACGAACATAAATTACGTATAAAGCCGCATATGGGTACGCACAATTTTACAGCTTACATACGATCAGAGGGGTTTAAAGGCGACTTTACCGAAGCGCACGCAAAATGCAATTGCAGTAGCGGTGCTTAATTGCTCCGTGTTGCAAAGGGTGTGTAACTGCCTCCGCCTTTAACACGGAGGCGTTTGCGGTAACGGCGATACATTGAAGGAAGATTAACTCTATGGAGCTTAACGTGCAACGGGACTAACCCGACGGGGAAGGATAACAGGAAGGGATGTTAATAATGGGCTATCTACAGAAAACGGACAACTTTCGTTGCCGTTAGGGTCTCTTGGAACTGCTGGTTATCGCGCGCGATTTTAATAAATTTGATGATTAAATATGATAAAAATGTTCGAGTCGTTATTTTTTCATGTAGAACAGGAACGATCATATTTTTTTAGGTATCGAAGAAAATAAAAATAAGTAGATAGATAAAAATAGATAAAACCATTAAATGTATGAAGCAAAATTTTTTAAATATTGTAATATACATATATGATATTTTTAGAATTTTCTTTCCCAAATATTTATATTTCCTTTATATAACAAATACAGTACATAAAAAAAATATATGTATACATATCTTATTACATAAAGGAAAAATATGGAATGCATATAAAATTCATATCCTTGGATATTCAGTTTTCTTAACTTGTTGTTTTGTCAGGATCAACAACGTAATAGAGGACTCGGTATCTCTATTTTCTTCGACATTTTGTTATCTATACAAATATTTGATTCATCAACTAAGTTACACGCAAGTTCCTTTTCATCAGACGAAACTTCCTGAGGAATTGCATGGTCAATTACTAAAGCAGTTTCTATCCTATCCATCGCCCTCTCAATGGATCTATTCAAGATCCCCGATTATTGACTATTTATTTAATCTTGCGTTCGCGCTTATTCCTATCTCGCGGCATTGC